CGCCGCGTGCGCCTGCAGCTCGCCACGCTCGAGGCCGGGCCTGGGGCGGCGGGTGCTGGCGCCGAGTGAGCCCGAGGTGAGGGGCGGGGAGGCGAGGCGAGGCGGAGGGGAAACGGAGGCCAGAAGAGAGGGAGAGACAGAGAAAGAACTGGAGAGAGAGTGGGAGAGGGGGAAGGACAGAGGGGGCACATGGAGAGACATCGAGGAGAGAGGGAAAGGTGGAGAGAGGCAGAGGGACAACGGTGGAGGGCAAGACTGGAAAGGAGAAGAGCAGAGAGCCAGAGGATGAAAGACCCAGAGACGCAGACAAAGGTGCAGACTTGGGAGAGACAAATAAGACGCTGCCCCCACAAATGAGGGCTGGAGAGTCACCATTAGCTCCTCTAACACTTGGACATGTGTTACTGTGCGCCAGTCCCCAGGTGCACCAGGTCCCATTTCCCATTTAATCCTCTCATTGAGTCTCTGAGGTCACTACTGTGACTATCCCCGTCCCGGGGACGACACTGAGGCCCCAACAGGTGCCATGTCTTGCCCAAGGGGAGTTACCTCTTGTACTCTCCAAAGTGTACTCCTCTGTCAGAGACCTGCTGTGGCTCCCTCTTGCCTTTTGGCCGACTCCAAGCCACTTACTATGTGTGCCCCCACATTTCAGTGCCCCCATCTCCTGCCTTCTCTGCAGTTACTACAGCATCCCTCAGTCCACGGATGGCCAGGCTGCTCATGCCAGCTGGCCTCCGTCCGTGCCTTCACCTACACCAGGAATGCCCTTGTTGTCTGTACTCCACGTGGAAAACTTCCCATGTGTCTTTTAAGATCCAACTGTATCTCAGGGCCTTTCTCTGGGTCTTCACATTGTCTGAGTTACCTCTGTTACTGCTTCTGTCACCGTGTATTTTATCTGGGTGCTGATACTGTCTCTCCCACACAACAGGGAGCCCCTTAAGGGTAAGACCTGGGTCTCTGGTGTCTTTGTTCTTAGCATTCCCCAGCAAAGAGTGAACTTTGCTGGGGAATGCTAAGGTGGGTGGATGGATTGGGTGGGTGGATAGAGGGATAAACGGATGAATTGTTGATGGATAAATAGGTGGTGGATGGCTGGATGTGGTTGGATTGATGGACAGATGAGTGACACATGGATAGATGAATTGGTTGATGAATGCATGGGTGAATGGATATGGTGGGGTGGATGATGGATGGCAGATGGGTGAATGGGTGGATGTTTGGGCCTATGGGTAGGCAGATAGATGAGAGGACAGATGGGTTGGCTGGTGGTTGGACGGATAAGTAGAACAATGGATGGATGAGTGACGGAATCATTTTCTCAAATGGGAGTTCCACACATAGAACTAATATCCAAAGCCGTTCTCTGTAGGTGATGAATTAACTTCCCTCCTATGCATCCAGAATGAATCTAGCTGTATACCCTTCTTTGTGAGACTTCAGAAAATAGTAACTCCAGTCATTTGTTAGGCTCTGTGGTTCAGACGAGGCAACAGTCTATGATGAACAAATGTATGCATAGATGAAGCATGAGCTAACACAAAATTTGCCATACCATGCAGAAAGAACCACCTGTGATTAAAATTACCCCTGAAAACCCTTTACCTTGTCCAAAAGTCTAACACAGCTGGATGGAACTACCTGCCAGAAACTGGCCAAGCCAACTGGCCTGTGGGCCACTCCTAAAAGAAAAAGATGCCTGTCCAAACACAGGACTCCAGGCTTCTCTGTCTGCCAAGTCTTTTTTATCTTTGTGCCTCTGTCTTTCCCTTGATATATTTCTGTCTGTCCCTCTCTCTTTGTTGTATATGAGTCTCTCCCTCTCTCTGCCTCTCCCTGCTCTCCTTCCCCACCTGTACCACTGGATTCCAGTGATTTAAAGCTACACTGGCTGCAGCAAATCAGGGTGTGGAGGAATGAAGGAGCAGATAGGCAAATGTAGGAGTCAATCGTGAGGGGCTGAAGTGGGAGAAAAGGGCTCCTTCCCCCTGGGTGGTAGCCCTGGGATGCCTGGCTACAAGCATCCACCACTAACCCCACCCTCCCTCCTGCAGGTGAACACATGGCCCCACCTGTCAGGGCCCGACTGGCTGAGGTGTGCAGCTGTCCCCAACATCTTCTGGCCGGATGCCTACCTGCCCTCCCTCTATCCTCTGGATAAACAGCTCTGCCTCACAGCACTGATGTCTGTCTGGGGAGGGACGGTGCTGGGGCAGGGGTTGGGCGAAGGGCCACCCAAACCCTCCGGGACCTAGGAGCCCAGCTTCATGCTACCCCCTCACCCAGGAGGGACAGGAGTGGGGGTAAGGATCTCAAGGCCAGACCCACCCCCTCAATCCAGGCCTCCCTCAGCCCAGGCTTCTCTGTTTGTTTTGGGCCCACTGAGAAGCAGACAGAGAGGCAAATTAGACCTGCAAAATTCACTTTATTTATTTATTGGGGGCAGTACTTATGGAGGATAGGTTAGGGTGGGTCTGTCACCTGAGAAACGACAGAGGGATGGTAAGGGGTGTGAGCAGGATGGGTGTTGAACTGTAATGAACTTCCAAGAAAATTTCTGCCCAGTCACAGGGGAATCTGAGAGCCACCACTGTCAGGCATTGGTGGGAAGCAAGGCCAATGATGGCAGAGGGTGATGGGGTCCAAAGGGCAGGCAGCAGAGGCTGTCAGGCAGTGGTAGAAGGAGAGCTGAGGGGCACAGCTGAACATGACCCCCAGCCCAGTTCAGGCACCCCTCAACCAAGCTGGCCCATCATCCCAGGCCACCACCACTCACCCTATCCCCCAGCCCAGATCCCCATATCCACAGCCCAGGACCTACACTCAACCCAGGCCCCCACAATCAGCTCAGAGACCCCCTTATCACCCCAAGTGCCCCTCAGCTTGGCTCCTCCCCACTGAGCCCTGGACCTGTTATTCCAGACGCCCTTCAGCTCACAGCCTCCATGATCAACCGAGCACCCCCATCAGCGCAGGTCCCCCCAAAACACACATACACACACTCCCTGCCTCCGGGTCTGAGCTGCCCCCTGCTTCATGCTTCTCAGAAAAGAGACCACACATCTGTGTGCTTTATCTGTATTGAGAGGTCCCCCGAGGGTGCCCCTAATCTTCATCCTCCCCACCTTCGGTGTCTTCGTCTTCTCCTGTCCCCTCCCCTTCGCCCCCTGAGACATCCAGAGCCCCCTCCGCAGGCAGGGAAGCAGGAATGCTGCCGATGGACGCCGTCTTCTTTTCACTCAGAGTCCCCCGGTCCTTGGATAACAGAGAGACCGTCCTGGACAGGTTGCACCTGTCCTTCAGGAATCTTGGAAGCCGCAGCATGTCCCGTCGCTTGGCCCACCTGGCGGGGAGGGGACACCCTCAGCCATGCTGTCCACCTGCCTCCCGGGGTCACCGGAGCCATGAGCCCTGACCCCACTCACCAGAACAAGCAGACAGTGGAGATCAGGAAGAGGAGGCCTCCACACATCCAGCCCAGCGCCCACATGTGCTTCCTCCGCATGGTTTCTGCACAGAGCAGGGAGGGGTGAGGCCCAGGGGTCCCAGCCACCATGCCCCAGCCCAGCAGCCCTGGCTCTCAGGCACGCACCGTCCGGCCGCTGGTGGTAGCAGACCCCATTGCGGTAGCAGCATCGTAGACGCAGACAGAGATTGGGGTTCTCAATTGCTGCCTGGCCCCCACAGCTCTCCCGGTCCCACACATCTCCCTCACAGCCTGGGGACCAACCACGAGGGGCACCTTCCTTACAGAGCCTGACCCCAAGACCAGGCTCTGGGGCTGCCTGACTGGTGTACTCTGTGTAGTACCCAGGAGTCCAGCCCCCCAGCCTCACCTCCCTCAGACCCAGGGGTCCAGACCCCCATCCCAGCCTTTCCCTCCTCAGACCCAGGAGTCCAGCCCCCCCAGCCCCTCCTCCCTCAGACCCAGGGGTCCAGCCCCCAGCCCTTTCTCCCTTTAGACCCAAGAGTCTAGTCTGGACTCCCTGTCCCTGGGGACCCAGGATTTCCTCTACTGCTCACTCCATGGATAGAAGAACCCCTGGATTCCATTCCCATCTGTGAAAGAAAAGGACAGTGTTGGGAGACTGTATGAGGCTGGGGAGGCTCCCTGCTCCACTCTCTGACCCTCCCATCAGCTGCCTCACCTACTGAGCCCTGCATGAGCAGGAAGAAGCCCAAAGCTGGGATCCCAGAGCCCACCATGTTGCCTCCCCAGACTCCTGGAGCTTCTGTGGGGAGAGACCTTGAAGGCCATCACCCCAGCAACTGGCTTGGCCCCGCCCACCTGGCCCCCAGTGTTCTGTTGCCAGGGAGCCCCTTTAGCATTGGGGAAGAGGGAAGAGGGGTCACACTGGCCTGGTCATGCCTGGTTGCTAGGGAGCTGCTTCATTAGCAACCAGGTGAAGGGGGCCTTGTGGTGGAGGTGGGGCCCAGGCATTAGAAGAGCCGCCTTAGCACCCTGGGCAGAAAGCAAGTAGCAGTCTAAGGCGTCTGTCTCCTCCTTGCAATCGGAGGACCCCAAGGGGTGGGCACCCGGAGACCTTTTTGCCAGGGAATACCTCTGCTTAGTAACCTGATGCCTGCGAGGCAGCTCTAGGTAGCCCAAAGGCTCCTGAGATCTGGTTGCTAGGGGGCTTTCCCTAGCAACCAGGGGCAGGGGCCCTGGGGCTCAGAAGGCCTCACTGAGCCCCATTGTTAGGGAGGCCCCCTAGCAACCAGAAGACCTAGGAGGGCGATGAGAAAATGGGGGTCATGCCATGGGCCAGAGCACATGCCCAGGGGTCCCTTGGTCCCAAAGGCATCCAGCCCTCCCCATGGGGAATATGTAATGGAGGGCTGGGCCATACCGAGATCTGAGCGATCTGAGTGCCAGGGGAGAGTGACTCATGGGCCCAGAGCCCCTTCTCCTAGTTCAGTCTCACTTTCCTCACCTGCAAACAGGGAAACAGATCCAAGTGGAGGTCCCCAAGCTCCTGGTTTGGTCCCTCGCAGTGGTGGGGTAGGAGGTCAATTTGGGGACTGGGTTGGAGACATGAACCCTGGTTCTCCCCTGAACCCGACTCAACTTTTCAGAGAGTGGGGAAGGGGCTCAGTTCCCCTGGGCAGTGTGTCTTTGTGTCCAGATCCTGAGTCTGAGAGAAAGGGGAGCTAGGGGTCTGGATACCTGGATTCGAGAGAAGGGGGTTTCTGGTGGTAAGGACTCCCAGGTCTGAGGCAGGAAGGCGCAGGGGCTCAGACTCCTGGGTCTGAGGGAGGAGGGGGCTGAGGGTCTGGACCCCTGGGTCTGAGGGAGGAGGGGCTGGGGGCCTGGACCCCTGGGTCTGAGGGAGGAGGAGGACAGAGGGCTCAGACTCCTGGTCTGAGGGCAGCTGTCCAGGAGTCCAGACCCCATTTCTCAGGAAGCCCTGTGAGGCTGACTCCTGTCCTGCCCATCTCCTGTAAACATCCTGGTGGGTGCTGAGTGGGCCCTGGGCTGCCTTCGTCAGAGATGACACAGGTCAGAGGGGGCTCGGCAGGGGGCCGGGGGTGGGGGTCAGAGGGGTTGTGGGGCTGAGGCCGGGCAGCTGCTGACCATTTCCTGTGTCAACATCATCTGGACCCACTTCCCAATTCCCGGGATTCCTCAGGGATCAAGGAGGGGGTGGGGGGCGGGGCCGCCGGGCCCTGGACCGCGGCTTGGGACTAGGGGGGCCGCCGTCACGGCCCTCACCGCTAATGACAGGTTTGGTCTGCCTCTGCGGCCCGCCTGCCCCGTCACCCCCCAGTGGCCAGACAGGACCCCCCAGGGACAGACAGACGGACACACACAGCCTCGGACCTGCTGACCTCACACCAGCCAGCTCCACCTCACCCGAGGGCCAGCACATGAGCAAGGACCTCCTGGGGTCCCCCGTCATATCCTAGTGGCATCTCCCCCACGTCTGTGGCCATTCCTCAGACCCTAGGCTCCATGTCTCCCCCAGTCCTTGCCTCTGAGCTTGTCTCTTTGTGTCTCTGTGGGTCCCAACTTGTTTTGCATCACTGTCTTCTACCTCTGGTCTCTGTGCTCTTGTGTCTCTGTTTGTCACTATCATCTTCTGTCATTGTGAGTCCCCTACCCTGCCTCTCCACCTCGGCACCCATGTCTCCGTCTCTCCTTCTAGCTGTCTTTTCCACAGAAGTAGCCCAAGTGTGCCCACCCCTGGGGAAGACCTAGGAATCCAGAGCAATCCCCCACCCTCCTGCCCCGTACCCACAGCATCTCCCTCGGCCTCTGGCAGCCACACTGGGGGAGGGCTGAGGCAGGACGAGGGGGCTGGCACTAGGCAGAGCACACTAACCCAGGCCCAAACGCCTGACCCTCCCCAGCCAAGTGCTCCCCAAGTTGCAGAATGGCCACAAGGTTTCTCCACCTTTCTAGAAACTAGAGTTTAGGGACTAGACACTTGACACCTGAGTCTGAGGGAGGAGGGGCTGGGGGTCTGGACTCCTGAGTCTGAGGGAGGAGGATCTGGGGTCTTGAAATCCTGGTTCTGAGGGAGGAGGATCTGGGGTCTTGAAATCCTGGGTTGGAGCAGTGGGATTGGGGTTGGCACCCCTGGTTCCCTGTAGGTGGAAGGGGCTGCCATCACCAGATCTCTATTGTTGCTCTCATGCTGGCCCCTGGCCCAGTCCCCCATCCCCTCAGGCCAGTCCGTCCCCCAGGCTGGTGGCCTGAGTCACCTTGGCTGGCCCCGCCGGTCTGGGGGGGGGCTACGTCAGTTCTCCCCTCACTGACGCAGCCTTGGGCCCCCCACGCTGACTCAGCCGGAAACAGGCCCCCTGAGGGGCGGAGAACCAGTGGTCAGAGGCCTGGGTCCCAGCATGAGCCAGGGCTGGGGAGGGCCCCTGGGGGGCCCTGGAAGGGGTGGCCATGACAGACTGAGAGAGGCAGAGCAAGCTCTTACCTGAGTCGATGAGGTCATGTCCCACCATGGGGGGGCTGTGACCTCACCTCCCCGGGGACCTGAGCAGTCGTCCCCCCAGTGGTGGGGGAGGGGAGGGGGATGACTCCAGCCGCCATTCATCCCCAGAGCCCCCTTCCCGCTCAGCACAGTCTCAGGGGCCAGGAGGGGAGACTTTTGGAAGTCCTTTTCACCTTTTGTCTTCTCAGTCCGCTCCATCCTTCTCTGCCACCTTTCTCCTGGGGTTGAGGGGGACTCCTGCGGACTTGGGTCCCTGTCTTGGTCTCTCACTGGCTGCTGTGAATCCCCTAGGCCAGCTGTGCTCCATATATCCTGTGCTCCTCTTGTGTGCCTGTGTTGGCATCGCTGTCCTCCCGAATCTGCATCTCCTGCTCCAAACCCTCTCTGCATCTCCACCTCTCGGCCTGGTGTTCTCCCTGCCCTGCCCTGGTCTCCAGCTCCCCTCTGAGCTGCCTGTCCAGGTCTCCTCATCCTCACTGTCTGGCTCGCACCATCTCCATCTCTCCCAGAGCCTGCATCTTTTTCTCTGTCTCCCTGGGTGTGTTAATAAACATCAACCACAAGAATAGCTATGGTTCACAGTTACTGAGAGCTGACTGTGTGGTCTGAACTCACTCTGTCCTCACCCAGGTGTTTGGGAAGGGGGAGGTGCCCGAGGTGTCCCCATTTCACAGATGGAGAAACTGAGGCACAGAGAGGTGAAGCCATGTGCCCGAGGTCCTACCTATACTAGGTCTCCACAACTTCTGTCTCTTGGTCCCTGTCTCTGCCTCTGGCTCCCTTTCACCATGTCCCAGCCTGTCTCTTGGAGAAAGGCTCCCCCTCAGTCAGTCCCCACTGCTGACTCCTCCTCGTGTCAGCATCTCCATCCCTCTGGGCATCTTTGCCTCCTGGGGCCTCTCCATCTCTGCCACCCTGCCTCGTGTCTCCCTTTTCTGCTGCCTGCCTCTCCTCCTTCTGACACGCCCTGTCTCCATCTCTTTTCTTTTGGGGGTCTCTCTGGGTCTCTGCAAATCTCTCCTGCTGTCTTCATCTTGCTTGCTATCTCTGACTCCCAGGACCTCTCCTCTGTCTCCTGGTTTCCTCTGCTCCTGCGGCATACCTCCTTGGCCGTCTCTATCTCTCCATGTATCTCTATCTCTGCATCTCAGACTCCCCATCTCTGTCCCGTGTCCCCATCTCTCTGTGTATCTCTCCCTTCTTGTCTGGGTCTCAGTCTCTCCATCTCTCTCTCTGCCCCTGGGAATCTCTTCCTCTCACACCTCCATCTCCCCAGGCCTGCATCTTGTGGCCCCGTCCCCATCTCTCCCTGCTGCCACATCTCTCTGTCTGTCCCGGTCCAGTCGGACCCCCGCCTGCAGCCAGGGCCCCAGTTCTTGAGCTGAGTGTGTCTGCCCTGGCGGCGGCCGGCCGAGGAGGTGGAGGGAGGGGACGCCAATGACCTCACCAGCCCCTCTCCGACCACCCCCCCTTTCCTTTCACTTT